TAAAGAGGTATCATTTTAGAGATATCATCTGCCACTTTTTAAATGTTTCAATTGTTACTTCTGTCCACACCTACAGCAATCCATCTCTGCCCATTGGTGCTGGCCCTGCTGCCTTATGAACTATATACTGGCGAGGATTTGCAAGAAACTGCATACCTCACAATGGAAAGCAAGATCCATCAGCAATTTGGTATTGACTGCTTAATAGTAAGTTAAGGCCTCAAGCTGGCACATGACTTAGCAGGTTGCAAATGAAATGCTTCTCTCAGTGAAAGAAAGCAGCAAAAAAAGATATCCAGCGATTCTTGGGTGTCCATTGAAAATATCTGGCTATGCCCCTCCAAAATTCTCACACTGCTCTTCTGCAATTATCCTACATTACAGTGGTGGAAGGCAGGGAAGCAAAGGATACTGGGATACCAGCCTTCACTATTGACACAGCCTGTGGCAAACCACCTTGCACAAGTAATCAAATTGGCAACAACTGAGTACAGCCTCTTTTGTGAGGAGCTGTCATAATGCAACTGGATCCTACTTTATGTCCCCATCATGGCTTACCTGTATATTCCATATTGCAGTGATGTCCTTCTTCAATTTCTCCATATAGCCTGCAGAATTTCTACATAGAAATTTGGATCATGTGGATTTTGCTCCTTTTCTGAAACAGCACAAGAGGTTTACTGGGACCCTCCATCCCATGATCAGCATGGAGTGCTTAGACTTTTGCTGGAATAAGTTATGCTTTTTCAAATCCTTTGAGTTCTTGGGCCAGTGTAGCCTTTGCTAACCTTTGTATCTAATCAAAAAGGGAGTTTATAACACGGATAGGATAAAGACTGCAGGGGTAAGCCCCCTCCTCCCTTCTCCAGGGATTAAGGAAAGAGTTTCCTTTTTCCTCCCAGTTTAGGCAATTATTTTGCTACCTTGGCAAACTGATAATCAAACTTTCTATAGATGGAGCAAACCCCAAAAGAACATGGTACAAATATTATCATCCTCTTTTTACTAACAGGGAAACTGAAACCAGTGTTTGAAATCTATTTTTCTTGCTGGACCTTGAAACTAGCTGTTGGCAGGTGGAATTGGAACTGAAAAACTATATGACTGGCTTTGCAGCAGGGCAAGTGCTGTATGATTTAAAGTAATGGTTTCTGGCTGTAATGGCTTCTGTAATGTTACCTTATGAGGAGAGACTTACAGCAAGACCCTTTCCACCTGTGTCTCTGGATTAAATCCTAGTGTGTGGCTGAAACCTCTGATCAGGAGCTGATACATTTACAAATGCATCTGAATAAGCATAAGAGTGCCAGTTTGAAACCGGTCCCAAAGAACTGGGAGTTCCCGTACTTTGCACACAGAATCGGTAAGGGCATTTCCACTGACAGAAAACTGAGCCAGTACTGAACTGGTTTCAGTTTCCCTGTTAGTAAAAAGAGGATGATACTTACATCCTTTGTAAGCTCTGAGATCGCCTGATATATAGTATATTTTGAGTTTGGTATTACTACCTCAGTCAGGAGCTCATCTATTCAGGGTGACTGAAAAGCATTCAAGTTACACTGTTTAGTTTTCCCACAGTCCATATAAAATCCAATGCTCCCATCTTTCTTCTTAAATCAGAAAGATAGGCGAGGTGCAAGGGCTGGTTCAGTTATGCCTTCCTGATACATTTTGACAAAACCTTGTAAAGACTTTCCCCTCTTTGAAATTAACTGGCGACATCCCTGCTTCATGAGTTGACTCTACAGTGTTGGTCTTGAGCTATACCAGGTGCCATGCCTCTCATTTTCGGCCTTCTATATATCTGAGTTCCACCAGCATATGTATGACAGGGATGTGAAAAGATCATATTCTCCTCTAGGTGACATAGCTGTCTGATAGTAAAACCCCTGCTGCTGATACAACTCTGCTGGATGCAGGGAAGGTGAAGGTGCTCTTCCTCCACAGCTGTGCAGCCCATAGCATAGACAACCCTGTTACTGGGTGAGTAAAGCAACTCTCAGTTCCTTAGCAGAGAGGTTCCTCAGACCTTACCACTCCGTGCCCAAAACATCCAGCATTGCACTGCACCAATTCTAGTAAAAGACTCTAGAAGATCATCTTTGCTCATGCCAATTTATCTGGTTCACACGTTGCCACTTTGGTTCCCCCATCTCCCTCTTGAACAAACAGTAAAGAGTAAACAAAAAGAAACATTAAGCCACTGATCAGGAAACTTTCTGCTTGGGACTGAGCAGAAATAACTCAAATTCTACCCCATTGGTCCTGTCCCCCATTGAAGTCTCAGCCATGCTGTTATAGCTCCTCACAAAAGGAATTTTTTTTTTTAAACAAACTGACCACCTGCAAAATATGAGCCACACCTGCAAATGGCATTTTCTAGAGGGTATTTCTATTTTTCCTGGCATCACTTTCACAAATAGTAGCCACAAGAAAATCCAGACCAATAATGAACTCATCCATCCTCCATGATCCAGAATACTTGATCCACTTCTAGAGATCCATGTTTAAACCCAACTCTCCCAATTTTTGGATAGATGTGTGGTTCCCAGTCAAAATCCCTCTTCTACACTAATTAGGCAGTTTGATTATTAAATGCATAAAGGAGTACTTTAAACACAGTCATTCCATGCTCTGTTTCAAGGATTGTGGTTATTAGACCATAAGTATTTAAATATTGGAGGAATAGATGTGTAAAATCAATCTCCCATTGCTATTATTCAACTGGCAGATATTCAAATAATCTGCAAGGTTATTTATTTCTGCTAATGATCCTTCCCCACCCCGCCAGTTTGGTGCCAGCAATTTTCATGAACTGGGTGAGGATAGGACTCTTTCTTTCCTTCTTTTTGTACTTAGCTGAGCCCTAGACAGCTTAGTGATCCTTTTGTATCAAGGCTTTTCACAAATCAGAATAACTCCTTTTTCTTGAATTACATTCAGCAGCACCAGAAATGATCTACTAATTAACTGATAGAACTCCTTCCCACTTCCCCTGATCTTTGTGTTCATCTCCCCAGCTACTCATTTGGGATATTGTTTACATAAAAGCGAAATGTGTCCCCCAGAAAGATGACATTAGATCACGCCTCTCTGGGCCTTTACAAGGCATTTTAGAGGATGTATCTTATCCAAGGTCTTTGGCTTATTTCCTCACCCAAGCTGCTGGCTTCAAAGTAGTCTGCAGTTCTCCACTTCAGTAAGTCCTTGCTGCAGCTCATTTCTGCTAAACAAGTTTCAAATTGACCAAAGCTTTCCAGTTCTTTGAAACAGCTTTGGTCCTCAGCATCAAGCAGCATCGGCAATTCTTCCATCAGCACTGGCCCAGTGAGTTGAATAGATTTTGAAACCCACGTACAAAATGTTTGACGCTTTGCATGTTCTTATCCAGTTGCATTTTTATTTCGAACTGTGGCAAGACAATCTGAGTCCTTCACAATAAGTCATGTGGCTGTTCTAATTCCTTCTGGCTTGCCATTAGTGATTTTGGGATAGCTTCATGTTCTTGGAATACCTCACTGATTATGAGACTTATTAAGCTTTCAACTTCTCTCCTAGCAAACTCAACCCTCTGAAAACAGCATTGACACTTGGCCAACTGATGACTGAGAAATATATGTAATGGAGTTATGACTGCAATCATTTATTTACACACGAACATATCACTACAAAGGGCCTCCTGGCCCACAGAATCCAGTCCCCCACATTCGCAGGCAATTATTTACCCAGGGAATCTCTAAAATTGCCATCCTCGCGCACAACTACAAGGCACAATACCCAAAAACACCAAGAATATGCCAGAAGTAAGAGCAGGGCAGACAAGGGCACTGCCAATGTAATTAGAGGAAAACAACTGGTTAACATCTAAGTCCTGTGCATCTTTAACCAAGGTGACTGAGCACACAGGCAGCTCTAGAATCCACAGCTCAGTTGCCATGAACAGGCCACAGGAACGGCTGCCTGGGATGCTATCCCTTCAGGTCTCCCACCAGCCTTCCAACTACCACAGAACGTTTCCCTCCTGGTCAAATGAAAAGCAGAGGACTCAGTCCCAGGAGATTCATGGCACTGCTCTCTGCTGGTCTAGTACAGCACAGCAGATTCATTACAAATATTATTGATATATGCCAGTAAGCATCTCATTGCTTCAAGTCATGTACAGTAAATCAGATGACAGAAGAAGCCAGTCTTATTCAATATGAAAGAAATCATCAACTTAATCACACCAACTATAGTGACAATGATTTGTTCCAACTACGCCACCAATTAAACATTTCTCAGCACCAGTTCAGAGGGACATGTTAGTGACAAAAATTGTCACCACAGGTCTACTTTCTAGCATAGAAAGACAATCTGACTTCAGAACCTGCTACTGGGAAAGAAGCAAGCAAAGAATGGCAAGAACACCTTTGTTTTTAAATACGTATGAGAGGTAGCAATATCTAGGAAAACAAACAACATTGATAAACAGCTCTGAGTTTGAAAAATTATCTTTTTTTCAATTTAAATACAGGTCTGAAAACATTACATGTTTATGTGCTGAATGCTCCAAAACCCAAGCAGCAGAACAGGCATTCAGTACTTCATTTTTAAAAGCTTTCTATTCCTACCCCATCCAAGCCTTGTTCCAGATTTCAAGTCAAACTAGCTAGTTCCTTCTCTAAAAATACTTCCTAGCAAGTAGCACACTGTGTGAAATTGCTAGAACATGATAACATCCTAGGGATGAACAGTCAGGTATGTGCAATAATACTGCTGCAAGTGACCTGTGAGTTCAGCCAGTCAAATGGCCCTCCTGGCTAACTGTCCCTTGCACCATATAAATCTTATGTTTTTATAAATAGAAGCTTTTATGGGGTGCCACGCCTTGGACCTGTTCAGCAGGTTAAGAAAATCCCATCACTGAAGGAAAGATATCATAAAGTAAATAATGCATAAAGTGGCAGTTAGAGTCTCCTCTTCCATTTGGGCAGAATAAGTTTGCACAAAGCAAAAGGAAACAAGGTTAAAATGAAGTTTATTAGTTTTTTTGTTTTTTTAAGCTTTTTTTTTTATATAAAACTGTTTGTGAAACAGCTATTTTATTCCCATGGCAGAGTGACCCCTGAAAGATGCACTAACCCCTTTCTTAAGGCCTTAACAAGAGAAATTTTTGTTTGTTTTTAAAACTCAAAATGTTTAAAAATTACACAATTTACAAAAAACCCCCAAAGTAACCATAGAGTGTAGGCTGTTAAACTGACATTCTCCCTTCCTTCCTTCCTTTGAAAAAAAATAAAAAACAAAAACAAAGAAGAAGGGCTAACTGGAGTTTCCTGAACAGTTTACACACACATGGATTCCACCAACATTCAGATTTCCCGTGCAGTTCCCCAACTTGGCAGGCAAACCAGTATCTTCCTCTAGCCTGCCTTCAAAACAGAAGGCAGCTTCTTGGAATGATTTGGGGGTGTACATCATTGCCAGAAATGACAGAAGTTCCCATCCCACCATTTGGTGAAGATGTTTCCAGATGAAAAAGGTATAAGCGTGTGTGTACTTTAGCTAGCAGCAGCTACCTCTTACTTCACAAGTCACATGACCTAGGAGTCTTCAGATATTCTTCAGGCTTCCACTGTTAATGAAAAATAAATAGTGTTTCTTGAAAAGAAAAAAAAAAGTCATAACCTCCTGTCCCGCAGATACCAGCATCCCATTGCCTGCAGCCATCCAGTCCTTCCTCTCACCCCTCTGACAATTTGTCACGATGCTGTTTTCTTTAAACCTTGAACTCTTCTTCTGGAAACTGTTGGGAGGTGGTGAGCGGAAGGAGCCTAATTTGGTTAGGGGAGCTCCTACCTCCACTTCCTTAACAACTAAACGTGAAGCTTCAGGAGCATTTTGGACTTAACATTTTCTGGGAGTTAGAAGACATTTTGAATTTATCTGGGTTTTCACAATGTAATCAAAAGCATAAAAAGGGATAGCGCACCTTTCATTTAAAACAAAGTCTTTCAAGACTAAAAAATAGATCTTTATATATATATATTTATATATATATATATTTATCCCTCCCTCTTTAATTCCCCCCACCTGTTTCCTCTTTTCCCTCCCCTCCCCACTGTCACTATGGAGATTGTGTCCATGGAAACAGCTGGTTCAGACTCCTTGGTCATATTCTGTGATGTCATCAGTTTTGAGTGTGATGTACGAATTTATGAAGGAAGTGCTGGCATTGGCAGGCACATCAAGAGGGGGCATGGCTGCACAGCGGGAGAGAATCCATTCAGTCACGAATGTCCACCGCCCTTTATCTCAACAGCCTAACCTGCAAAGCAAACAAGAACAGCAATATTAGAACAATTACAGTTACCCCTACAACTGATCTATCAAGCTTGCCACCAGGACTTATGAGAAGCTTACTCAATAGCTTGTCCTGGCAGAAATACCAGAAGGTCAAACCAAGTCAAGATGAGATAAATGGGAGCATGATGGTGCATATTTCTTTTTAAAAAAAGGTATATGGTAAAAGGTATCGTTAGATTAACAACCCCTCCCCCCAAACAAAAAAACAAAACTGAATTATATACAGCATGAAAACAGCAACATAAACTCCCCTCCTCCACCTCAAAATTAGAGGCCTAATAAGAGAGAACTGCTTTCTCCACACTCCAGTAAGTTCTTAGTAGAGGTTCGCCGATATACTGGTCCATATCAGATCAGCACTGATAAAGGGAAAATTGACATGGTCAGCAACCAGCCTTTTTTGGCTGGTGTAGCCAACAATATTACTGATAAATGCTGCATGCACGCATACAGCCACAGCATGCACACAGCCAGGAAAGCAGCTAGGCAGCTTGGAGAGCAGTGTCCTGTGCAAGTTGGGGAGGGGGGTGTGCCTGGGGCCAAGGCCCCGACAATCAGGGAGAGAAAGGGGCTGGGGCAGGCACTGCCCAGATGGGGTGGGGAATGGAGCTCCAGGCAGCTCATCCAGCAAACATGGGGGAAAGGAGGAATGACTTCCTGCCATTCTGCACATCCCCAGGGTCGGCATGGGAGGCATGTGCCCCCAGGATTTGTGCGTGGGCATGGGGAGAGGACACACTGCCTCCTGCAGGCTCAGGGCTAGGGGCTGCACCAGCTTCTTCCCAGCAAGGGACTGGGCCAGGGCTGTTCTCAGGCTGGGCGGGGACAGGGTGGGAAGCGGCAGTGGTGCTGGGAGCCACCCCAAAATTCTCCATAGCCACCTCTCCCACCGCCACAGCCCCTGGTCCTGAGCCCATGCACAAATCCAGGGAGCACATGCCCCCCATGCCTCCACCAGGGGAGCATACAGTGGCAGGGAGCCACTCCCCGTCCCCACTTGACAAGGCACCTGCATCCTGTGCCCCACCCTTGCTGGGAAGAGCCTGTCCCTGCGCCAGCCCCATTCCCTCCCTCATCACGGGGGCCTTGATCTGCCCATGCCCCTTCTCCCTACAGACTTACCAGTTGGATGCTGCTCTCCAAGAGGCCAGGTTGAATATCAGCTACCGGATTGGTACTGGCTGATATAATTGGTTAACTATCAGCCAAAAAAATCTTTATTGGTGCACCAAAAGTCCTTAGCTTGTATATTAAACCTGGCTATAAAAGGAGCCCAAATAAAATAAAGTATAATGGTAGTTTCTGTCATGTGGTACCTGCCCATTAGAACTGGACTGAAACTTCCCAACACATTTCATACAGATCAGTTACAACGTTCACTGAATATTCACTTCACCCTTTCAACAGAACATATGTCAAAGTTTATAGGTTTTGTATCCCATTTCCAATTTCATGATGTGAGCAATCACTGTCAACCAGGGTGCCATGGCACAGTTACGTGTACAAACATGATTCACAAGACAAACCCAGAGATTTCATATAGGAATACATAGTATTAAAAAAAACAACATTCTGCCCTGTCCTGGTCTGAGTCCTTTGCAACACAAGAATTGTAGTATTATTTCTCAGTAGTAAAAAAAAAAAAAACAAGTGAAAAACTAAGAGCTGGCATTTTCTGTGGGGGTGTCTTAAGTCTTAGAAGGTTGAGAACCACTACTTTAGAGAATTAGTGCTTTTTCTGTAAAAACTAAAACTTATTTCTGTTGTTCCCAGTTTGCTCACCTTCAGGGACAAGGTTAGGGTGAGGAGCAGAATTAAGGCATCTTAAACTAAAAAGTCTGAAATAGCAATTCCTCCTCTAAGATTTTAGAAATTTCACTATACCCCTCAAAGAGTCCTACAAAGAAATATCCTAACCTTATTAAAACTTCTGGCTAAAGGTTGAGCAAAAAGGAGTCAAAGCTGGATATTTTCTGTTCATTTTCTTCTAATTACTTCAGCCTCCCTTGACAAACTACCACTGCCAAAAAATGGGCAACCCTATATATTGTTCTTCCTGCTATATCTCATCTGAGATCCAAGACTGATTTATTTATTGGGCTTGAATCCTTTGCTGTCACTCATATATGGCTTATATATCCCTTCCTCCTCTCCCCAGTTGGTGAACTCAGGTCAAAACAAACCCCACAGTATCAGCTGCACATGTACTGCAGTTAGTATCACTAGGGCCTCCCACAAAAAAAATTGTTGCTCCTACAATTTCCACACCAAGCCAAAAGACATGATAGAAGCATGTAAAAATTAAAATAAAGCCAGACGTTTCCACATAGGCAATATCACAAAAGAGGGAGGAAGGTTCCTAGACAGCTCAGGCAGCTGATCCCTGTTGGTATTCATTACTGTGCAACTGTGAGCCCTTACTGAAGGAGTGGCAAGGACATGCTGCTGCCTCTGGCTTCTGTACAACTGCAGCTTCCCCATGCTTGGAATCAATCCAGAGCATTAGGCACTGGCTCAGGGAGGAAACAGGCTCACCACATACAATCCCACTCTCTTCCTGGCAAAGATCCAGAGCACCAGGCTCAATCGCACACATTTACTCTCCATAACTGGAACTGATCCAGAAGTTCTAGGGGCAACTGGCTCAGGAAGAGATGAGCTGCAAACAGAGACACAATCCACTGACTTGCCTGGAACTGCTCCAGAGAACCAAAGGGAAGGGCTCCTCTTGCCCTGCTGGGCCAAGAAGTGAACCGAGCAAAACAAAAGCAAAAGGATACCTCCCACAGCCTATTCCTGTCCTAAGAGTCTACTTCACACCACATTCCCCTGCCAAAACAGCAACAGGACAGCTTTTCTATTACCAGAGGACAGTTATAGAATTTCCATGAAGTTTCATTAATACCACCTTTATGCAGCAAGCTTCCCTTTAAAACAGGGTGTCCAGGCCCTGGTAAGCTTTCATTTGGGGGCACAAAACCATGGTAAAAAGGGGACAAATCTATTAGACAACCTCCTTAAGAAAAGAAAAAAAAAGAGGCAGCACAATATTTCCAAATGAGAAGTTGCTGGGGCAGAAGCGAAGGTGGAAAAATGACACAGACACTCCACTTCCGGAAGGGCATCGGTAAAGTTTTCACTTTGTATCCCCATTCCTTTCCTCCACAGGACTGTTAAATAATTGTCAGTGTTAAGATGTCCCCAGTCCATATTACTCTATACTTTCATACTAGGCTTTTTATACAAAGCCTGTTGACTAGATCCTATGACCCTCTCTCCCCCTCCTTCCATCTGGCCTCTGTGCACCACTTCTGAAGCCACTGATGCTGCAGAACCCTCAGCATGCATACTGAGGTCTATGAGAATCTATTTCTTCCCCCTTCCACATTATGTAATGGAGCATATTGTGAATGTCAAAGGTACAAACAGCCCCACTGACACTTGGTCAGCAGAGCAGCTTGTAGCAGCAGTTACCAGCAAGCACAGCTGGAGGAACTCTGGGGCCATTCGAACTTCCACAAAGAACAAACTTGTCACCAGGATGGGAAGAACATGAAGATCTTCCCTTGTGAGAAGTTTGAAGAAGTCGCGAGCAGCCCATTACGGACTAGGGAAGTTGCATCGGTTGCAAGTGAGATGGCCAATTTAACTGCATGAGGGAAGGGAAGAATGGACAGCCAACATTAACTATGTGCAAATGGACATGATTTGTGCAAGGAGGGCTGCATTAATTAAATGGGGATGCTACCCAGAGGCAGAATGGGCACAGGGCATTTCCCGCCCCCCTGGTGCCCCATATACAGCCTAGGTAGGGACTTCCATCCCAAAACCCCCATAAGCAACAGATCCCAGTTACTTTGGTTATTCGTCACACATCGTGATGACCTGTATTCCACAATGACAGGACGGATAACTGAGAGGCAACATCTACCACTTCCAGTGGGGAGCAAAAAGAGCCCAGGAGCAAAGTAGGGCTGGAAGGAAAGACATTGACAGAAGAACTACTCTCTTCTTCCTCATAACCAAGCCCCCTCACTCACCTAAGAACAGCCTGTCACAAGCAAAGACAAATACCCTGGACTCTCTGCTTATTTACCTTTTAAAAGGAAGTTAGGGAAGAGAATAAAATGATACTCTGAGCTCTAGAGCTAAACAAAGCACTTCACAAATTCAAAGAGACAGGCCCTTGACCTTGTGAAACTTGCAATAGTTTAAGTATGAAACTGTGACTAAACTTGGGGATGGGACTAGTGTCGGAAGTCTATGCAGAAAATAAACCTGAGTGAAACCTGAACATCATGGCATGTTTATGCTCACTGACTCCTAGTTGTTATAAAAAAGGTGTTCAGCCACGATTACAAAGAACCAGCTCCGTGTCTTCCCTAACATTAGACAATTAAAACAGATGCAACACTCTGACTAGTATTCCAACACCTCACATTGAGCCACACATTCATTTACACATTTTAGGGACATGCAAAAGTTCAGTGTGATCATTAAGATTTTTCAATTTTATTAACAAAAAGAATTATAGAGAAGAATATGAATGGCTAATCTTGGCTGAGTGGGTAACTTTTCTTTAATGAAAATCCAAGTATACACAAGAAGGTACCAAAAACAAGAAATTGCATAACAGAACTGAGCTAAACCAAGCTGTATAAAAAGTGTTCATACCAAACACTAGCTTGTTGCTATTTTTTCATAAATAAAACATAACATTATTTGGTAAATCTCACTTCCTTCATAGAAAATACCACAAAAACCACTTCACAGTAACTCAGTTGGAGAAACAAAGCAAGGTTTTAAGGTAAAATTGAAAGAGGAAGTTGCTGAGAAGCAGGGAGATGGGGGACAGTTCTCGTTAGATGAGGTAATAGAAGTGAAAGGATAACCCACACCTGCAGAATTGTAGGAAAGGGACACAAAAGCAACCCAATCTGTAAGAAATGAACAAGCTGAGGTCAAGACAGCCAATTAGTACCAATAGGGTGGTAGCTTAGAACACCCTTGTTTCAATGGACATTGACTGGAGACCGAATGTTCATTTCATTTAGGTCATCTAGCTATCAGATGGATCTGAGAAAGATTTTCAGATTGAGGTAATTAAGTGAATGCTTTGGCGATCCAAGGTACAAGAAAGTGGATTTTTCAATTGCTCTGTGTAATCAACAATGGTAATGATAGACATAGTAAGCACTGCAGATTCATAGCTACAGGGCCAAACAGATACAGCTCTACTATCTTTAGCTCTACTCTGTTTGAAAGGAAGAGGAAAGTGCCTGGGGGGATGGGGAGAGAAAAGGGGAGGAGTAACAGGCCCATGGGAAAGGTCACTTCTTACCCCAATTTTCTCAAAGGCAACCCGCAGTCCAGAGGCCTGCAAACTTGTAATAATTACCTTCACACAAACACAATTACATTGCCCCCCTCCCTGCTCAGTAAAAGGTTTAATAACATGGCAATCTAGACCTCTATGAGCTTTTCAAGTAATTTACTATTAAGTTCCAAAAGAATTATAAAGAATAATCTGCTAGCTTCCTACACAGAGGAAGATAAAATGAGTGGAGACCTCAGGTGGTGGTTTCAATGAATACAGCAATTGGGAAAAAAACAGCAAATAAGAGGGCAGCTTTGCCCTTTACCAGTAAATGCAAAATGAAACCACTAACCTGAAGCAAAAAGAGGAACAAAAACTAAAGAACATCCAATTACAACCTCCAAAGGGGCACAAGTAATGTACACTTCTCCCACAGAAGGGGGGAAGGACATGGGGGAACAAGAAGTTCTCCCCAACTCACCTGTGCTTGCTTTTATTTCCATTCCCAGGAACACACTTCCCCCCTCACCCCCGCTCCGACTGCTCTGTGCTGAGGCTGCCTTTCACCATCTTGTTCTGCAAGGAGGGAAGAGAGCAAGGAGGGAGGGGCTGACAAACCAGCAAGCCAAAAGAAGGAGAAGGAGGATGAGGGACAGCAAAAGACAAGGGTAGGGGAAGACACACACAGAAAAATATATAAAAGAAAGAGAAAGAGAGAGAGAAAGTCAGTACTGGAATGACACGCACAGATTTTCAGACAGGATTTTCCCTGTAACAGAAGTCAGCATTTTGTAAGAATGTTTTGATTTTAAAAAGAAAGAAAAAACCATAGAATTTAACAACAAAAAGTAGAGCGAGAACTTAATAACACCACTTGAAGGTGACCTACAAAGGTTTTGTTCGTCTGTCTTATAAACTCTGAGCACACATCCCTTTCTGCTTCTTTAGGATTTACACAAGAGGTCTGCAGGTTCCCTCTCCTGCCAATCATTCAACCTTAGAAATATGGAATACTGAGCTTGTCCTTCCCTAATTCTTCTAAAACAGGGTTTGGCAATGTTTTTGGGCAGTGCCAAAATCATCTGCAACCTTTACTTGTAAGATGTTGGTGTGCCGGGGGGGGGGGTGTCTGCAAGGGGCCCAATCCTTGTTGTGGAAGCATAGCCCTGGCCCCTTCCCTGCAATCTGCCCCAAGGTGTGCGTGCACCTGCTGCCAGTGACAAGCCAGGCTGGGGCTCCACAGACCTTGCAGCCTCCTGGCTGCCTGCCACAGTCAGCCAGTGTTCTGGGAAGGCCCCTGCTACCCACCATGGAGCCGAGGCTGCTCACAGAAGGCAGCAGGGAGGTTGCAAGCAGCTGCACTAGGGTCTGCAGAGCCCTGCCCTGTTTCATTGCTGGCTGTGGGTGCACGCGCACCTCAAGGCAGATGACAGGGAAGAGGCTGCACTGCCACAAGGACTGGGCTCCTCATGGCTCCCCCTCCATCTTCCCCAAGGCATGCAAGCCAAGCAAAATGCCTTTTTATGCCATGCTCTGTCACATGTGCTGGGGGTTGCCTACCCCTATTCTAAAGGACCTACTGGATCTCTCAAAGGATTTATCAAGTTAGCTCTCATACCTGAATTGAAAAGCTGAGGTGTCAGATGTTAGTTAGCCACTGACAAGTTAAAAACAGAATTTTTTTTAAACTGTGTGACTGGAAGTCCCTTCCCTTCTCCAATGGCTCAACATTCACACTTCCGTCTGTTGCAAAGTCATATTTTAATTTATTCCATGCATCATCTTACTAGAGTGATATTCAATACGCTTGGATGGAGCCTGGAATGGCTCCACATCTAACTGAGAACCTCTGCCCAATTAGCAATATGTAAGAGCAGGATGGTGTTATTCTCACCTAAAAAAGCATTCAGAACAAACCAACAACAAATCAGTGAAGTCTCATGCAAAGGCTAAACCACATTCAAGTGAAGAAAAACCTTTTATTTTCACTGAGATCAAATAAGTGTCTCCAACTTTATTCTATGAAAGCCAACAAAAACTTAGGTGTGAAACAGAAGCTCCTGAACACCTCTCCCTCTCCTGACCTCAAAATAGGGAAAAGATGTGCAGTGGATTTTCAGTAAAGTTCACAGCTTTAATAGCTTCATCAAGTACCTCTTTTTAATGCTGCTGGCACCCTTTTTCCCTCCAAAGCTTACCAGATAACAGAACTTATATGTTCTCAAATGGCTTGTACAACAGGCTGAACTGTAGTCATAAGACAACTGTGTTTTCCTGGTATAACTTCCTTGTTCTAACAGCTAATACTAATACAGCAGTACTACTTGAACCTAACTGACTGATGAAAAGCTGTAAGATTTTTCCTGTTCTAGCATGTTTTTTTTTTAGTGGGCAGCAATAAAGCGTAGTCCTCATGTATTGATCCTTTCTATTCACACTAATCAGATGTCAAGAGTTGGGCAAAAGACAGCATTCCTGTAGTTTTTTCCAGCTGATAGAACAAATTGTACCTTTAAGTTACTGTTTCAGGCTGCCTGCAAATTCAGGCAGGTAGTCATATGTCAGTTTAACCCTGAAAGAGTGCAAGAACCATAAATCTCCACAACTGAAAGGACAAAAAAAACATTTCTTTAAATAAAAGGGTGGGAAAAGAGGCTGGTCCATGGCGCTCTGTCTGGAAATCCTTGTCTGAGGATCCTAGGCTAGCTGGGGACTACATATTTAACTTGAAAAGCAAACACCAACAGTCCCCCTACATTTTCAAAACTGAAGTGAATATATGTATTTCTACTGGGGTAACACAACTACCACCACACAGTAACAACAAGAACAAAACATACTGCACAAGAATACAAATCTCTTTTACAGATAGATTATCAACAATCACTGCCTCCTGTAAAAATACAAATTACCAGCAGATGTCACTCTAACCACAGGCACAAAAGGAGAAAGCTCCTAACAAGTACTGTACCTGAATGGAGACTAATATATCCTCCTGCAGATACAAAAGAGCAAAATCCTTCTCCCACCTAATTTCCCAGTTGTACCATCTATACTCTCTCACAAATTTTAAATGGTTTCTTACTAGCTGAGTAAGAAAAAAGCAATTCCACCTGACATTTTGATCACCGACTTACACAAGTGACAGAAATGCTGTCTCATAGACAGATACTTCAGGAACTTGTACTGAGGATGTGAGGAGGAAACAGAATCAGCCAAGTTACCAGATATTCAGCCTGCTAGCTCTTGCTGAAGGAGGACTAAGCTCTTTCCATCTCTGGTTGGTCCTTGCTTCCAAAGCGATTAAACCCTTTTTGTCAGCCACTTTCCTTCCTTCCTCCCTGCATGTCTCTTAAGTTTTAGAAAAAACCTTGAACAGAAAGTTTTACTATAGCATTCCAACAGGAGCAGCTCATTAAGTATGAAGCTGGATTTTCTAAAGAGCCTCCAAGAGTTTAGAGAACATCTGGAAATATGCATATCTCCTTAATTCTCCATCTTCATCTACGGAGGTGTCTGTCCCCAGAATACATCCCACTGAACTACAGAAATATTGTTTAACGCTATCTAGATATATAATTATTCATTTAAAAGACAAAAACAAGATGCAGCCCCCACCAGAGGGCAGCGTAGAACGGGCCCACTGAGGAAAAGGGTTCTTCTTACCTTGTGCTTCGGGCACCTCACTGAGAAGTTCTCTTCATTTAGTAAACAATCTACAGGAGAAGAGAGATAGCAATTTGATTTAGTACTTTTTAAAAAAAAATGAATGCACCCTCCATGATGTCATGTGTATTAACCATGCCTTCCAGATGCATTTTGGATTCAAAGATCTTTTACAGAACTATCTTGTCAAGCTTTCCACAAGAATGTTTTGGTAAATAAAGTTACCAAGAGACCTGAGTGGTATTATTCTTATAGTCATCAATATGTAAAGACCAAATCTTGCCAATCTCCTCACTGTTGTGTAAAGAACAAGAATTGTCAGTACAGAGGTATAAATTTCTCCTCCCTCCATGGATTCCAACTTTTAGAAATACAAATATGGGAAAAGCCAGGCACACCCATCTGATCTTAACAAATGATTCCTTCTTTGTGCCTCTCATTCCTGTCCAAAGGCATCTGTCACTAGCATGGGGAGGAGGAAGAATAAGGGGTGTTGTGGGGGGAAGAAGGGGGTGACTTATTCCCAGCACAAAAGCTGGTAATCACTTTTACAGACACCACGCTTAATAGTCTGGTCACTCATACTGCTCTCGGATCTGCCTCCACACTTCACATCTGTATAATTTTCATCTGTTACAAAACTGGGAGAAATTAGATTTGTTTTATGAGTGAATTTAGCAATGCTAAAGAGTGCTAAGTTAACTTTTCTTAGAATCTTAAGAGCTGCAACCACACAAAAAGTACACTGAAGATAACAGGTTGTGCAAACTTCAGAGCTCTTGATTTCCACTGAAGGATTTCAAGAATCCTATCTTTCCATTTCATGACTAGAAGCAGTGTTGGGCTATCCTCCTTGGGAATTCAGTTGCATCTCTTAGGCATCCTCCCCCTCTCCCACCCATGGGAAAACACAGAAGACCACCACCTCCCTAATCTGGTGTTACCCAGCCCCTGCATTTTCTGGTAGCAGAGAATTCACCAGGGCGCTTTATGACCTCTCATCTTCTCCAGCCTCCCCAAATACTGGCAAGCAGCATGATGGTAAATAAAATGTGTTAATTTAAAACCCACTTAAGTATGTAGCATAACCAGAGTTCCCTGCTGTTCCAATCTGCTAGAAGAGTTTAGCAGGCAGCAGGAGACTGCAACTAAGGCTTGAGGGAAAAGCTTTCTAGACACCCAAGCTTTGGCAGAGCTTCTCTTGCTGGTATGAAATGCTTCTGTTGCAGCATCAGTGCCTCTGGCCTGAATCAAAGGGAAACAGCATACAATAGGCTAAGTTACTACTCTTTGCTAAGTCACTTGAAGTAAAACCCTTAATCTTCCTAAGGGCAACAATTCCAAATACAGTATTAGCAAAAATTGTGCTCTCTTATTATAAAGGTGGGATTTCCACCATGAATTATGACTGTACAGTATCATAACACCAGAACAAAATATAAAACATTAAAAAACAAAGACTACCTTTTTTCTTGTGTTGTGAATCTAGCACTGTTGACAGATTAAATATTCCATGTATGCCCAAAGCAGGAACTGCATATGGGGCAAGGGGGCATGCAGTCAGAGACCACCTACTGTCAAAATGCCACACACCCGATTTGAACAATTGCTGGAGTTAGAAGAACTGACCATAGATTTTTATTGAAATTGGCAATATTTACTGAAAATGCCAATATAGTTATCCATTAATGCCAACTTTGCTTATGTGTTTTAAGGGATAAGGAAGCCTGTCTCACTGAGAACTGGAGAGGCATTATCAGCATTTGACGAAAGCAACAAAATATGCGTAAAATGGCAAAAACTGTTGGTCACTACCGCCTATATTACAGGCAAGGAAGCTTTAGTCAGCCCTTAGAGGTAACTTCAGGCAGAGAGACCATCGGACAAAGCTATGCCAGTTCAGGAAAGAGAGGGGAAGGGATCTCAATTGTTTGGACTGTTTTTTTCCTAAACGGAGGAGTCAAGGAAAAATTATTGCTTTATCATATACTTTTTTTTGTCACTTCCTCTCTCCCCACCTCCTTCCTATTATCCATCACTCCAGTGCTATTTGCAAGGAAAGAGGGTTTCCATTCCTTAAGAGTTTAACATATTTTTAAACGATATTTTTCCTTATTTAGGGTCAAAATCCTCTGACATATCATACAATACAAATGCTGTCTGGAAAACTGATCTGGTAAAGACCAGGATCTGATTCCAGGTGATGGAGAACAAGTTGGAGGAGTGGATGCAAAAATCTTAAGAAACAAAAGTCCAGTTTCCATGGAGATGCTCCAAGGACTAAGTTCTCTCAGAAACATCAGTGGCTTTTTATAAATTTGGACAGAAAGCAGAGCAAAGATAAAATGTTAACCACAGACATCTCCACACAAACTATTTAAGCAGCACTATTTAATTGTCACTCTTTTACAAGTGAACAACACTTCAGTTTTTGTGCACAAGGATCTCTCATGCTGACAAAAATATTTTGTATGAAAGGAGATGAGAAGTAAGATATTAGGGCAGTGGTTTTCAACTGGGATCCATAAGACAATGTTAAGTAATCCACAGATCACAGTAAGCCCTGTGCTCAAAGGGGCACAAGCAAGTGGCACACTCCCCCTCAACCTCTTCCACCCCGCTTTACAAATAATCTTATGTACCAGATGCATCAACCAGCAAATGAGAAGACAAACATTGGGAAAGGATGTTTTTTGGGAGTATTTGGGAGGAATGGAGCTCCCTTTGCCTAGTCAGTGGTACATGGGAGGAATGGAGCCCCCTTTCCCAAGTAAAGGATATAAAGAACAGTTCAAAGAAGTCTCATGTCAAGGGTAAACAGTGGTCCAGGGGAAATCTGAAGGCTGACTGTTCTACTGGTCCAAAACTTTTGGGAACCACTAAATTAGGATATCCATATGCATGTACAGACTGAAAGTTTATGAACAGCATACTTTTTTTTAACAGTTAACAAGCTAATTTGTAAGGGGTAAAGCATCCACACCTGAGAACAGGAGGGCAATCCAGGCTGACCTTGACAGGCTCAAGAAATAGGTGGATGAGAACCTATTAGTGTTTAACACTGAAAAATGCAAAGTTCTCCACTTTGGGAGGAAAAACCTGCAGCATGCTTATAGGCTCGGCAGTGCTACGCTGGTTAGCACTACGGATGAAAGGGACTTGAGGGTCATGATTGACCACAAGATAAATACGAGCCTTCAATGCAATGCTGCAGCCAGTAAAGTGAGCAAAACATTGGCTTGCATCCATAGATGCTTCTCAAGCAAATCCCGAGACGTCATTCTCCCCTTGTACTCTGTCTTGGTGAGGCCGCAGCTGGAGTACTGCGTTCAGTTTTGGGCTCCTCAATTCAAAAAGGTTGTGGAGAAGTTTGAGAGAGTTCAGAGAAGAGCCCCACACATGATCAGAGGTCAGGAAAACAGACCTTACAACGACAGGCTGAGAGCTATGGGAATCTTTAACTTGGAAAAGCGCAGGCCCAGGGACGATTTAATGGCCACCTATAAGTTTATCAGGGGTGTTCACCAGGATCTGGGGGAACGATTGTTCACCAGAGTGCCCCAAGGGATGACAAGGTCAAATGGTTATAAACTCCAGCAAGACCGTTTCAGGCTGGACATAGGAAGAATTTCTTCACTATCCGAGCCCCCAAGATCTGGAATAGCATGCCACTGGAGGTGGTTCATGCACCTACACTGAACGCCTTCAGGAGAAATTTGGATGCTTATCTTGCTGGGATCCTATGACCCCAGCTGACTTCCTGCCCCTTAGGCAGGGGGCTGGACTCTACGATCTTCCGAGGTCCCTTCCAGTCCTAATGCCTATGAAATCTATGAAGACTGGTACAAAACATGTTTTTTTTTCAAGACTAACCAGCGCAAGGATTTCAGTGTGGAACACAGAACATTATAACTTCTATGCTTAGTGCCACTGAACCCTAGTGAGCTATCAGGATGGGAGTCAAAGGAGAAGCAATTAAACAAACCCCCCCCCCCTAGAATCTTCCAGTATATTAACGTGGATGACAATCACTAGGTTCCTGTTCTAGCTGGTTATCTGCAATGTACCTGGGCCTGAAAGGAAGAAGACAGTTCAAAATATAATTAGTACTAACATGGTTATGAATGATGGGGAAGTCTTGTTTTAACACACTTTGTATATATTTTTATAATGGAGTTGTATGCATTTATACATCTGAGAGCCCTTTGGGGAGGTTACTCAGAGTTGGGCGCTCATGTTCCTTGCCCTAGTTTTGTTCAAAACGCAAGGTGGTTTCATCCTTGGTAATGGAAGGGAATGGCTTCAACTGAATCTAGTACCCCAGGGAATCCCTTGCACAGCTCAAGGAACTTGAGAGAATATCTGAATCTCTCAGAGTCTGACTCACTGCAAGACAGACAACTGAACTGCACTGCTGATGCAAGGGCTTATAGAGAGATGACAGACTGCGAAAAGAAGGCTGCCAGAGAGAATGTCAATCCATTTCTTCAGGAAGCATATGCAATCTACTTTTGCAGACCTGGAAATCACGCCTTACTATACAATAAGGCTTTTGTTGGTCTATTTTATTATATATATATATATATATAAGCGGAGCTAATTATAAAGGTTGCCTGACATGTCCCATTTTAAGTTCCTATTTTCAGTTACTTACAGCCTTTGCCAAACTTTGGATGAAATTTTCCATGTACGTATCTATTTCATGCTGACATTTTTAGAGAATTCTTACTTAAAAGATCCAGTCATTTCCAGAATGATGCTGGGGAAAATGTTGTTTTGCTCATATTGAAAAATTCCAGTCACCTTTTCTCTGAAAACCCACAGTTCTCTCTTGTTTTGAATCAGAGGTCTGAAATTTTGGAGGGATATGCCTTTGCCATCCCTATGAAATTCACCCAATGGTGGGGGGGAGTGAAGGAAGAGTCAGTTTTTACAGACTCAGCTGAACCCTCTCGAGAGTTTAGCAGCTAGACTCCATCTGCACTTGACATGCCCAAATCTGGTGCTGCACAAGGCTTTCCTGCTACCACAGCCCTGGGTTGCTATGGAT